GCCACTGCAACCTGCCCCGGTGATGGACAAGCAAAGCCCGGCATCCCCAAATCCACCCCCCAGCACCCCCTCCCCCGACGCTGCCTGCCCCCTGCGCACCCCGAGCCTGCCCGCAGCCCCGCCGGGGGGGAGGAAAACAACAAAGCGGCAACCACAGCAAGGCCACCCTGAAGGGAGCAAGTGCAGGTCCCTCCGTGGCCTTTCGGGGTGAGGAACCCACCGCCCCGCGCCCCCCGGGCCCCGCAGGGGCAGCACTCACAGCTCGGTGCATGTTGGACATCGGCGGCGGCGCCGGGCGGATTCCAGAGCAGAGCTAAAGGAGGAGCAGAGCCATCAGACGGCCCTGCTCGGCACTGGTTGCACAGCACACAAGATCATGTTTTGATTACAAAAGCCTCGTCTGGGCTCCCAGCCAAGAGCACTGGCTGCCTAATATACCAAGCACAGACAGGGTTTTGAGTGCCTGTGTCCTCCTCTCCAATCTCACTCCCTTTTTAAAAGAAACACTCCCCCTTTCCCCCCACCCCCTCCTGACTCCTTTTAACTTCCTGATGCCACAAGCCCTCGTTCAAAGCGGGAAAAGCCTGGGGGAACAATGGAAAACGGATCAGGCAAACAGCCTGGACTTCACTTGGTGGCCATTGATGGGGTCGCGGTGTTTGTCATGCCTGGCTAGATACACAGCTGGCAGGGAACAGGGAAAATACCTGGGGTCCTCCAGGTCTTGCCAGTGTGAGTACATACAAGGGCCTTCGTGGGGGAAAAAGTGCCAAGCCTGCCTTTTTCTGTTTAATTTTGATACTTTCCAGGAATTATTTCCCCGCTTTTCAAACCTGCCTTTCTTTCAGAGAGGGAGCAGAAGAGATGCTGTGGGGTGGGCATTAACCTCCAGCACCATGACTAGCAGGAAGCACATAGTCAAAGAAGAGGGGTCCCCCCCATAAGTCTGGGACCTCCAGAAGAGTCACAAAGACTGGGGCTTTGAGAAAACAGGCAGCATTTGCCTGCTGCAGTCTCAGGTTGCTGCACTCAAACCCTTATCTGGGCACCATGTCTTGGCTCTGTGCTATGTCCACCCTCAGCACAGACCCTTTCCCTCAGCCTCTGAGGGACCCAGATCTGGCAAGAGGTGAACAGGAGATGAAAGCACACCAGGGAATATTTTGTTTCCCAAGGACCAATGCACACCCCAGCTTTCAAGAGGGTCCTGCAATGTTTGGACATTATAGCATTTAAAAAGGAGTAAGTCTGCTGCTGGCACCCCTCCCCTCTCAGACTTTGAGCAGGTCAACCACTCACAAAACCCAAGAAGTTCAACTCAAAATCCAGCATGATTCAAGGGAAGCCTTCAAAAGACTTTGAGGAGCTCTGAATTTGCCCATCTCTGCATGAAACTCCAGCTATTGGAGATCAGAGCTAAGGCTCTAAGGGAGCTGGAAGAATGGCTTAGTAAAAGCACTTGGAGGGAAAGACTGACCCATATTAATTAGTAGCAACTCTGATGATGAAAGGAAACTCAAGCCATTTCCCAGGCAGTGCCTCTGGATTCACACTTGAAGAAGAAAATGAAGACTCTGCTGTGGAAGGAAAAATTGGAAAAAAGACACAAGAGCTTTGCTAGAGCCCAAGGGCTTGTCAACAGGTTTGTGATGGAAAACCCGGCACAGGAGGAGCCACACAGGGCTTTTCCTTGCCCTGGGAACACAGGGGAGCTGGGAGGATGGTGCTGCCTTGGGCTTCCAAGTTGGCACAGTCCCTTGTGAGGGTGGAATGATGGCCCATTTTTGGTTGGGCTGGTGGCTGGGGGGATGAGATCAGCCCCAGAAGATGCTGCCGGGCTGAGTCAAGGAGCCAGTGCTTATGGAAACTCTTTCCGGCAGTGGTTCCTGATTCTGGTGGTACAGCAGCCATGTCCCAGAGCTGGAGCAGCCTGCACATGCTGCTGACACCCAGGGCCAGGTCATCAGAAACTCACAGCATTGTCCCAGGTTCTTTGCATGGGGCAGAGTCACCACCATGTACAGAAGGGTCCATTGTGCCACCCATGGGTCACAGTAGCTAGGGGACCATGTCATGCCCAAGCTGTCAAAGCATAAGCCAAGTGCTGGCAAGGAGTTTCTGCAGACCTCATAGCCGTGGCATCCCAGCTCTTCCAGCAACAAGCAGTGCCATGAGCAGGCATGAAGAGCCCCCAAATACCTCTGCCCTGGCTAATGTCTCTGCAGAGCTGCAGTTTCCTCCAGGGCAGTGTTGGCTGCTCCACTGCCCTCCACACAAAGATCTGTCATTTCTCAGCTGTCTTTTACCATGTCTGAGTGGCATGAATGACAAGCATCTGCTTTTGCATCATCATCTGGGACGGATGAGAAGATGAATGCTCGACACAGAAACCCAGGGGCAAAAGGGCCCAGTAAAGGGAGCAGCATCTGCAGCTTCAGCAGTGGGACAGAACAGGTTGGTTTGGGGACCTGTTTGTGCTCTTGAGACTCTCACAGGACACAGAAAACAGGACCTTATAAATATGCTGAGCATTATGGGGTTATATACATGCACATGTATTTGCTTATTCCTGGAGTCATGGCCAGAAAGGGCTGCAATAACACCCAGGCTGGCCCCAACTTGAGGGCTTGCTCTGAACTGCCAAGACCTCTGATTTGCTCTCCAAGGCAGTGTCAGCCCCAAGATTAGCCCTGCCTTCTCACAGGGCCTGTGCTGACCTCAGGGTAAGGCTAATCCTTCAGGACAGCCATCCTGGCACCAGGGAGCACCAATACCCACAGATTTATCACTTGGGAAGGAGAGAAACCTAAATGGTCCCCAGTTTTCCTGCTCCCATGAGAAGGGTGTGCTGGATGCATGACATGTCAGGGGTGCTGCAGGACCTCAGGACACACTGAATGCTGTTCACACAGCCCCCTCAGAGGCTGAAGCATGTCAATACTGCTCCCTCCAGCAGCTGGTGGCAGCTATTTCCCAGCATTCCCAACTTCAGCCAGCAAGTGTCTATTACATCCATGTGCAACAGGAAGGAGGTTTGGAGAAACCAGCTTAATTTATCGCCCAGGAATTTGCCCACCTCCCCTTGAGTTAAGTTCTTTATTCTTCTGAAATAGCCAGAAGACCTTTAATAATCAGGATGGCCTGATCTGGGCTATTGATGGTGCTCTGGCTGCTGTGGCCTGGCTTGTGCCATCTCAGAAGCTCACTCAGCCCAGGAGCCTCGGGGCTGAAACCCCAGGTTGGCTCACAGACAGGGGATGTATCAGCTCCTGCTGGCTGCTGGCAGCCCCTAAAGGAGCAGTCCCTGCAGTGGACAGCAGCTTGCCTTCAGGAAAGCCTGTAAGCTGGAGGAATCAAGAGGACACAAGAGGATTCTTGCAGCATGGCCCTGCCAGGCCTGAGCTACAGAAGGGCTTGGCTGACCTCCCTGAAGCAGAGCCTCCAGCTGCCTACTTGGAGCCCCTGCTCTCCAAGCAGGGCAAAGTTTGCTGGAGATTTCTCTGGAGCAAAGGAAGGAAATCAGGGCAATGACCTGTGCTCATGACAGTGAAATAGTCCCCTTCTCTGGCTGGGTGCTGCAAAGCTTCTCCCTGACCAGTTTCAGCACAAAGAACCATCTCTGACAGGAGTCTACAACCTCCTTGCTCCAGGACATTATTCAGTGGCTTGCAGGAAGTGTTGTCCCACATGTTCACAGTAAGACTGTTTGTTTCTTCTCTGTCTCTCTACCTTACACCAAGGCTGAAGGAAAGAAATTGATTCCTCAACAAACCCAAACCTGACTGCTTCAAGAAGCATTCCTGGCATCCCTCAATCAGTCCTTCCACCAGCAGGAACCACCTTGGCTTGAAACCCTCCTTTTTTTTCCTTCTGCACTCTGGGAAACTCCTCCAAAGCCACTCAGGCCCACGTTGCCACTTTTCCCAAGTGCACTTCACCCGTCTGCATCTTGGCTCCTCTCCATTTTTTGCATGATCACTGTTTAGTCAACAGATGGCACTCAGTAACTGCTGGGAGAAGCGGGAGCCAGCTGCCAAGGAGCCCACTGGAGAAGGAGCCTGAACTCTACCTGTTTTGGGAGGCTGTTTTGGTATCATGCACGGGGGCTGCAGATGAGCCACCTGGCCAAGTTTCAGAGGTGCTCCTGCAAGCTGCCCTGAGCAGCCATGAGCCCAAATCGCGCTGCCTGAGGCTCCTGGGCAGAACTAACAACCCCTCCCCAGGCCTGCTGGACACAGAGAGGGTGGGAACATGCAGTCTATCAAAGAAGAGCTTCTCAGCAGCCTGAAGGAACCTCCTATATCAACCACATGGCAAAGTTCCCTGCAATAAGCAAACCCCTCCTTTGCCTCCCTCTCTTATCCCCAGCTCTGGTCCTTCAGCCACCTGTGTCTGCAGGACAAAAAGGTGTTGGAGGCATTTCCTCCAGCAGCCAGAAGACAGGTCAGCAAATTCCTTAGACTGGGAGGAGGGACCAGCCAGAAACCTGCTTTAGTTGGAAAGATCAAAGGTTTGCCGAGACATTTATTTTTACTTGTATCAATGTACAATTAAAATGAGAACTACCAAAGCTAGTTAAAGGACATAAACCCGTGGTCCTGCTTCAAATCAGTGAAGGTCAGAGCTGCCTCTTGGTGCTTCCCACAACAAAACCACTCCTGACACTACCACAGAAACCTCTCAGGATACACAGAGCAGCCCTGTTCCCCCTGAAGGACAAGTTTGTCCCCTCTGTGCACAGCATCCCAGCCTGCAGGTTCTTGGCCCAAGTCCTATGGGTGAAGTCTCTGCCTACTCTGTGTTGAATGCCACCTGAAATAACTCATGACCTCATCACCTCACCTGACATTTTCTGCTCCTGAAAAATGTGCAATTCTAGTGTAGGGCCTGTGGAGCTGGGTGAACAATAGGAGGGTCTGTCCTTGTAGTTCTTCCCACTTTGGGATGTGCACAGCAGGGCCAAATGCAGGTTTGCTGACCCCATTTGCTAACCCAGATTTAGGACACACAGCCCAGCCTTGGGAAGGGTGCCAGGCTGTGGAAGGTGGCCGGGGCAGCCAGTCAAGCAGGTTCTTTTCATCTTTTATGGAAATGTGGTCCTTGGGGAAAGAGCTGCAGACAGCAACTGGCTCTAGGCTCTCCCTAGCTGGAAGCTGTCATCAGCAGGGGCCAAGAGATGTTTACCATTCCAGCCCATTGCTTCAGCCCAGATCCAGGAGGACATGGGCAGCCCCATGGCCAGTAACTTGCAGTTTGCAAGCTACAACTGCGCATGCCAAGACCTAGCTGGCTCCTGACACCATCATATGCCTCTTGTGAACACCAAAAAGTCAAAATTATTCTACACTGGGCTGCTGTGGGGCTTCACCAGGGGCAACATGAC